ATTTGAATCGATTTTATTTGATCGCGCATACGATATGCACGAAGAAGGCGCGAGATTTCTGGATTCATTCTAGAAATCAATCGATCATCTTAATAGATAATAGATAAGATATATATAATAGTCATTCGAAATATGAATCTCGATTGATCTAAAATAAATATTATCTCATATCTAATTGAGGGAATTCTTCAGGAAATCCTTATTCTTTATATCTGAATTTTTTATTGATTGGATATTTCATATTGAGATCTCCTTAGATTAAATTTGATAAATATTCAATATCAAGACGTTCCCAAATAAAGATCGAAGACGATAGATGAAATCCTAGGAGAAAGATCTTGAATTGATTCTTATTGGATATCGACGTCGTCCCTTCTTATCTCTTAAGATGACGGATCTCTAGACGTCCGACGGATTATGACGGATTTAGATATATTCCCTGATATTCTTATATCGAATATCTTATTTATCTTATAAATCGATGATTTATGATCTCATTTTCATTTTTTCTCTATATTCATTGAGAAAATTTATATACTTGATATATTATCGTCTATAATCTTCTCTTATTAAATATTTTGGATGCATCCGACGTCATTAGAAATTACGTCATCATTCGGAATTTCCTCAAAAAATCGTCGTTTTATCATATCGTTATCATCCGAATCTATCATCTGAAAAAAATCATTCTTCCCTTCAATCATCCTAATTATAGGGAACTCTAATTGGATTAGTCACGTCAAGATTATCAAAAATCGCGCTCTCATTTAGAATATCATCAAAATTTGATTTTTTGTTTATTCCAAAATAATGCTCTCATTCGAGGCAAATTATTAATTTCGATTTTATGATCTTCATATATTGCAAAATCGCGTTCTCGGCGGAATATTCTAGCTAAAATATCGATATTTCTTCTCCAATTTCTCTAAAAATAATATTAGCGAAAAATATTTGGAAAAATTATTTTGATCTTTTTTAGATGATGATATCGACGAAGATTATATTGATTGATTATCGAGAAATTCTATTCAAGATTATCTTCTTCATTCAAAATGACGATCTTGAAGAGAATATTCTGATATTCGGGCGAGATAATTTTCATCGATTTCGTCATTCAATAATTGAACGCGCAAATCGACGGAAATTATATTAATTGATTATCGGAATATTCCATTCAAGATCGTCTTCTTCATTCAATATTATTATCTTGATAAAAGAATCTGGAAATCAATCAATATGATCTTCGTCGATTTCGTCATTCAAAATCGTATTCTCGTACGGATCTTCCTGAATATTTTGAAGAAAATCATTCTTCTATTCAAATAATCTCATAAATTTTGAAAAATATATTACGTTCTCACGCGGAATATCCTGAATATTTTGCATCGAATCGGATCCTTATACGGAATATTCTCAAAATTTCATCGTTTTATATTCAAGATCGTGATCTCATATAGATCATCCTGAAAATTCGTTGAAAATTCATGAAGAATCGTGACCTCGAATAGAACGCCTATTAAATCGCATCTTCATACGGAATATCTTGAAAATTCGATTGATTTTCTATCTTATCTATCTTGATATATATATTCATATATATATCTCGGAGATATTTCGGATTTCTTATATAGAGATCCCTATGAATCTCTATGAGAGAATCTGGCAGAATCTATACGATTGATATTATTGAAATCTTGATTTGATTTCAATATGGAATCAATCAAGAAACGGATCGATAACGCCGCATTTTTCTTTTATTTTCGAATGTTTCGTAATAGCGTCCCAAGATTGCTCATAATTTGATCCAAAATTATTAGAGAAGAAATATCTATAGATCATATATTTGATTTCTTCAAAATCCGCTCCAAATCTCCCAAATTTGTCGTCTCGTAGAAATGGAATGACGATTAGATCTATCATTATTATGAATAATAATATTTAGAAATATTCGTCCTAGATATATATTATGAATCTAATTCATATTCGATTTGATATCGATGAAAATGATAAAAATTTATGATATTATCAATTCTGATATGAGAATTCAGAGATGATTGAATATTGAAATATATGATAATATATATGAGAATCAAGATTCATATTGATTTTTCGTGATAATGATAAGAATATATATTAAAATCTCTATATATATATATGAATTTTCAATTTCTCTTTGATAATTATATATGATACTACTAATAATGAAATTCGAAATCTTATTCATATTAATCTATATATATTCATATTAATATTCATATTGAGATGAATATTTTAATTCATCTGAATATCTATATCAAGATTCGTATGATATATATTCTAATATTATGAATATTAATATAATCATCTGCATCAATATTCATTTCGAGTATATATATATTGATATTTATTGAATAGATTAGGAATAATATGAATAGAATGAATATCGTAATAATATGAATATTCTTATTCATATAGAGATCAATAAGAATAGCAATATTGAATCATCAATCATTTCTCAATTTTCAATTCTAATTCAATTATCTCTATTCTAATATCATCATCTCTATTAAATTATCTCAAATTCTATGAATCAGAGAGAATTATCATTTCGATATTCCTAAAGATATTCTATTCTAATCATCAATTCAGATAAATCAATCGTTTCTATGATCAAAATTAGCAGCAAGAGATCAAATAATTAATTGATGGATAATAAATAGAAAATGAAAAAAATAAAATAAATTAATATAAATAATATGAAATTAGAAATAACTCCTTAATCAAATAGAATAATAAATTCATCAGATAAATAATCAAATATATAAATATATCCAATCGAATATTCAATCAATAAATAAAATCAAGATCAGAGGGCCAGAACCTTAGTCCTAATTTGAACAAAAAAATAATTGAAAGAATCATATAAAGATTTAAATCAATTGAATATATATATATATCGAAAAATATATTCGAATAAATAGAAAATATTGAAATTATCAATATATATCAAATGAATAATAATCAAATAATTTCATATAAATAGATAATCCAATCAAAATAGTCAGAGAAATACATATATAGAGAGAGAGAGAGAGCGAGATAATCAAATGAATAATGACTGCTAGATAGATTGAAATATGAAAATCAATAGATCGATATATAAAGCTCAAAGAAAATTCTTAATCGTATTCAAAGCTCTTCTTATATCAATAAATATATTAGACGATAAAGATAGCCATTTTCAATAATATGAAGAAAATTTCAAAATCGACGATTTTTGAAATTGATAGAATATCTAATAAGACATATTTCATCTTAGAATTTTAGAAGCTGAACGAATATCACAAAGAAGAAAAAATCATCCAGAAAGATATATATCTCGTATGAGATCTGATCAATATTTTTATATAGATTCAATAAATTTAGAAAATATATCATATTTTCCTATGAAAAAGAAATTTAGCATATTTCAACGAATTCTTAATATATTTATCAAAATATATCTTTGATAAGATGCAAACAGAAATATAATATAAAAAAGATATGCATCTAAATTTCGAGAATTATTCATTGAATCTTATATAAACGTATTTTGGGAAGAGATATATATATATATAGAGAAAGTACGAAATCCAAGAAAAGAGATTTTATCTTGAATTTTGACGTTCACTCAATAAAAAATGATGATTATACTTAGAAGAAATATAAATTTATGTTCCTCTGCATTGATTGAGATCTCAACAAATTTTTCGATCCAATTTCATTAGTTGCGGAAGAGAGATCTCAATATAAATAAATTCTCCTCTATTTTCATCATCCTGACAATATGCCTCTAGATATATAGGAAAACATTGAGATCGGTCATATATACGCGAATTGCCTTCTTTCATCAAATCACGTCCTCGACGCCAGGCATCCTGATCTAAAAGATGAAGGACTAATATATATCACGCGGCCATATTCAGCTCAAAACACTTTTAAATCCGATGTCATAGACCTTAAGATCAAATGAATTCCTGTTGCCGCGCCGACGCTGTCCTAGCGCCTGCATGAGGAGAGCCCGAAACCTGCATGTGCGCATGGCGCCGCCTTGTAGCGAAGACTAAACCGCCGAGGCAGAACCCTCATGTCGCACTTCCATCATATTTTACGTTCATGGAATTTCGGCATCCGCCCAAAGGCTGGAACCCGGTATCTGAACTCTCAAGTAGCCCAAGCTCTACGATATCGTTTCATATCCGAGACTTGGAATCCCTAATTGAATCCTAAACCCAAATCCTCAGCCCCTTGCCCGTGTCTGACTTGCCCCTGCCCTGTTCTCAACTAATTACTCCGTTTCTGACTCAGGACCCCTGCAGCTATCCCTGTGCAAAGTTCGGGTGCCCGAATTTTCATGTGCGCAATCAAAATCCAGAGAATTATCTATGTAGTTCATGTTGCTGCGCGCCCGGAGGCGGACCGCCAAAGTCCGCTGGAACTGCGATGGTTATAGGATAGTCAAGTACTCTTTAATTCTTGTTCGAATGAATCGACATCAAGAAACGGAATAAATCAGGCAATAGATAAGATACGTGGCTGGTTCTGGTTCATATTATCATGAACACATTTTCGAAGACTGCCATCCACATGCAGAAGTTACTTGATCTGGAGCTTTCTTTCGGGCCATATGCTTGTCGAAGTCGTCGGAGCTTGATAAGTTCTCGTATCTCAGTAAGAGTCAGAATCGCAGAGATCACAGACTTTCCAAGTCCAAACCTTCAGGACAGAGCTGTCCCAAAAAAAGCTTTCCGAAAGATGGAGATCGTCGTAACCATTTGAGGCAGACATGTCAAAGATTCAACTACCGCCTCAAATTTGAAATCAGCTGTCCACTGATACTAACTGTAGCCCTGAGACATTCCATCATTTTTTGGTCATAGATTTTCGCATTGGAGGTGATAGGTTGCAGGCCAGTCAAAGGCCCGAGATGGAATCTAGCCGGACTCTAACCATGACATGCGCATCAAAGCATGTGCAGCAGCTCGTCGCACGCAACGGACGTCTGGAGGGCGCCTTCTCACTGCTAAGCCTCCGGTCGCACCCAGACCGACTCCTGGCAATCAGTCAGGGGAACCAGCCTGTGTTACTACCTTCAGGAATTAAAGGGGTTGTAGTAAGTTATTCTAGTACTTATGATTATGCGGCTTGTAGGGTTGAGGGTTAGTACACCTGTGTTCTGATCGATTTGCGAGTCCTTGGTCTGAGTGTTCCAGAAGTATGGGACGTTGTACTCGTCGGACCAATGCTCCTGCAAACGCTAAGGGCCCCAAGGAATTATGGCTATCGGTGCTGCCGCTGGCAAGCATAGCTTGTTGCTCCTCCCAGTCAGGAGGCAGGCCTCCATCATCCTCGGATTGCCACACGTTTCCATACCTGCCAGCTGTTGCGGGAGTGAGCAAGAGAAAAGAAGGCCCACTCCACAAGACGAGCACCGTGCAAATAAGCCTAGGACGGATCTTCCGCGGCCTGCTTTCGCTTGGAACCCGCCTGTGCTAGCTGCACACGCATGCGAACATGCGCAAATGGCATTCTAAGCAAGAGCCTTGAGCGTGGCGCCTCTGAAGTTTTGGAAACCTTTGCCGCCTGGCTTGCATGAGATGGAGTGCTCACGGTGCTCAAAGATGCGGGTCACAGTGTGCGATGCTGGTACAAAGATTAAGATGCACCTGCAGGTAGGTTGTCCAAGATCCTGCAGTTGTGCGCTCCCAGGCCGCTGCTGTCTGCCTCAGCATTCAGGGGCATAGGCCTCAACATGCCTCAAGAAAAGGGTGGAGCGTGATGTCACCGGCTAGGCTCCAAGCATAAACCAGGAAAGACACGCGGCTTCCGGGATTCACTGTAACGCTGTCGTCCTCCATGTCGGAAAGATGGACGTACAACTTGCCCTGGCGCTTGCCAGCTAAAGGGTGCTGGACTGGCTTGTCAGGAATGATCCAACCATACTTGCCCCACCACTCCCGAAGCTGGCCAGTCTGCTCAACTGTGCCAACGGGCTGGCGGGGTAGCTTTGTTTTTACTCTGAAGCCTTCCGAGGATGGGGCCGAGAGCGTCGTTGGGATGCTTGCTTTGAATCCTTTTCCTGGGGGTGCCACCACGGGAGGTGGCTTCCCACCTTTCTTCGGCACTGGTGTCAGGAGCTTCGGCTTGTCCTGTGGAATCTTAAGATGCGTCTGGAGCACTTTCTTCGGCTGTGTCAGTGGCTTGGCCGCTGGCTTGGGCTTAGCCGCAGGCCTGGTGACTGTTGGTGCTTTGTTTTGCAAGTTCGGGCTCTTGCCTGGGACAGACCGGCAGAACTCTGCGCCTAAGCGACCGCCTTCGGTGACTTCGGAGTAGACCAAAAAGTCAACCGCTTGACCAGGCTTCAAGGCCTGTCCGGCTGAGACGTCCTTGCGCTTCACCAGGAGCAGGCCGCTGTTCTTCGCCCGGTACACGTGGTCGATTGGCGTATCGGGTCGGATCCAACCCTCATCTTTCTCTGCTTGCCAGTGAGCTACCTTCCCGGAGACTCTTCCGCAGTTGACCCGGGTGCGAAACTGCACGGGCTTCTTCTTCATCGCAGTCAGCCTAGCACTCCCAGGCTGGCCCACTTTGAGCCGCGGTGAGTCAAGTGAATTGGGTTCATAAAGACTGCAACTTCTTGAGTCTTTCCAAGTTGAACGCTATGATTCAAACATCTTTTTCCCAAGAGCGGTGACACATGCCCAAGCGGCCGGCGTGCAATGTTCAGATCAGCCAGAATGTGCTCACCAAGTCTTTCGGTGAGAACAACGCGCGCAAGTTGTGAAACGTGTGACGGGCCCTTGGGGGCGTTCCGTTTTGACCTGCCCTCCACATGGTGCAAAAGAATTGCGGACTAAGGCTGTGCCAGCTTTTCAGATCTCATGGCTGCTCATGCTTCGAGTCGCAGTCTTGGCGGCTTCAGCCACCCTGAACGTTCCATTGTGATTGAGCATTTACTTTTCTTCCTACACTTTCTACGGCTGCCTCTTTTTGTAGCAGCTGTTAATCTTAGTAGCTCTTACTCGTGATGATGCCAAAGCCCCTTTTCCCAAAGCCGCTGCAATGGTGTTGTTGTGGCAAACCCCGTCCTGCGCTGTATGGCTTGCTGCTGGACCTGACAGCATGCACAGGTCAAGCACACAAAAGTGGTTGATCTTTCAGATACAAGCGGGTCCTCGCCCAAAATGACCGTGCAACCAATCCATTTCACAAATCCCAAAAATGAACCACCATGCTGTTATACGCCCAAACATGTCATATCCTAATCGCTAGAATTCTTTCCAGCCCTGCCAACGCATTAACAGGATCTGGCTGTGGCTCAGATGTTATGTAAATCTGACCGATCCAGGTTGCCTCCTCCCACGGTAAGGCAACCTCGTAGGAAAGGGCGTTCTGTGCACCATTGATGATGTTATGAGTCCTGTCCTTAGGATCGCCCGGTACGCTGGGCTGGGCATACTGCTTTGTGGTCCAATTCTCAACCGCTTGGTTATGGATGGCCAACACATGCCCATCAACCAAGGCTTCAAGCAAGCGTCTCTCACATCATGACCTCAAGAGCAGGCCCAATCAGGTCCGGTTGAAGGCCGGGGAAAGGCATGCAAGCCGACACTGCTTGCCAGAATTACAAGAAGCCAACTGAAACTAGGCCAAGCTGGCCCTTACATCTGGGCCCTCCGCTTCGAAGAGCTGCAGCTCGCTCTGGGTCCCAAGTCTCAGAAAGCATGGTGGTGACTTCTCTCCGGGGACTAGCTTAACGTGAGGCGCTGGCCGGGGAGAATTTTGGAAAGAGGCGAGCATGCGTGTCTAGGAATCGGAATGGGTGCTGCTCTGGATCAACGCATTTCCGTTGAATACAAATGTCCTGCCGTGACATGGGACAAACAATTAAGAGGGTGTGCTGTGCTCACTCGTGCAAGGCAAACTCAACCTGCTTCATGCCCCAGCCTTGGAACGCTCCAGCCCGGGATCTGTACCATAATTACGCATTGCCACAGCGTCGTCTGAGTACGTTTTGTCATGCAAGTTGCCAAACCGATTTTCGGCAATGTTCGCCTTGCGTTCAGCCTGCACAGACTACGGCACAAACCAAACGCAAACTACATACACTACTGTATACACTTATGTCGAGAATATATATGCATATACACTATACGTATATATATATATGTAGGCAATGATGTCAGCTTGCAACCCGCCTGCGCTGCCAAGTGCTGATAACGCTCTTTGTACAGAATGGTGTCTGGGTGCGTAGGCCCATCCACTCCAAGAATTCCCTTGGCTGAACATACGTGCATTTGTCTCTTTGCTAGGGATGCAATTGCTGTAGTTTGCAATGAACGTCTAAATGCACTTGAGGTGTGCGCCTCTGGATGCTTGCGCTCCAGCACCGTCATGCGCTTGCGGTATCGGAAAACTGCGTCCCTCTCCTCTCGCCACTTCTGCTCCCCTGCTTTCATCAGGAGATGCTCCTTGTATCGCTCGGATGGAAGCATCAAGCTGTGGTTTTGATACCTCCCAGGAAGCACGGCAGTATAAATGGTCTGGAAGGCAGAACATGGAACTGCTGAGCGCACATCTTGATAAAGGAGTCATCGACTTCTTTGGGTGGAGGTGGGATCTCGAAGGTCCCTTCTCGAGGATCTCCCTTTGGGTCCATGAGGGGATGCGGCAAGATCGACATGTCCATTGAGTTGCATTCCTCACCGGAGCCCCGTCAAAAATGCCCACAAGACACCACAGGTTGCAAAAAAAATGTAGAATAAGTGTCCTTGACCGGTCGGATCACGCGGGCTTCACTCACAAAGCTGACTGAAGGACGGATCTGCCCATATGTGGCCTCGATTATCTTCAAATGCATGAGCTTCTGCTCGCAAGTCGCTTCAGGCTTCGATGGAAGATGCAATCAGCAGTATGGGTTCGCGGCCATCTTCCTGATGAAGCGATCGCCCTGAGTGGGTGCCTGCGAAAGAGCCAAAGGCCAGAGGTGTTCTCGACAGTACAAACTTGCAACATGCTACACAAGCCCGAGCCTCTGCATTCTGATAGCCGGGGTCTGTGGATTTTAAGTAAGAATCCAAGCGCATCGTTGGATGGGCCCCACGAGATGCTCCCAAGGCGATGCCCCCGACCTGGCCATTTAAGAAGAGGTTCCATGGTGTCGATTGTCACAAGCAGCCTACAGCTAAGAACAGGATCCTCAATTCCAACCAATACCAACCTAGTCTATGTCCCGCAACAACTCATGGTCCAAAGCATTCTGGAAACCATCTCATCGTAGTTGAATTGTGCGCAGAAATTAAATCCCGAAACAGAGGGCAAGAGCACTCAACAGGCACGAAACCTGGCCCCCCCTCCCCCTTGTCGTTCATGAAATGGCACGCTGCGCAAACAGATGAACATCACCTCTGAGAACACTGGCAAAGCGTGCCCCGGAGCACAGAGGCAGCTTGGGACGACGCCCCCGCCATGCTGCTGCGGTGCCCGGGCATTCTGACAAGGCCCCGGCTTCCGCAAACCAGGCCAGGGCACTCCTTGAGCCTTCCTGTCGGTCAAGACGTGAATTCTGAGACTTGACTACCGCCGTGCATGGACGGCCACCGAGGTTGTCAAACCACATCTTGCAGGCTCAACTTGTTTTTGTCTCTTCAGTCGCAGCTGCTGTAATTTGCGATTTAAATGATGGAGAGCGAACTAGCTAACTGCTGCCCCTCGTCTTCTGTCGCAAATAATCTGCCTAGTCAGGATTGAACATGCGTGCTGCCTAACAAGGACGCAACAAAAACCAACATGCACGTCGTTCATGCAGAGCTGTGTGCTACTGGCCATAAGTCCGCGACGCGCCATTGCCAGTACTTCGCACGTATTCTGTCAACTTCCGTGAGCTGCTCGAACTGCTGAAGGGCTGCTTGGACATCTCCTTTTGCCTGGCTCACTTCACCCTGAACTGACTCGGATGCAGAAAAACGTTTGCGGGCGCCATCCTCAAAGATGTTGGCAAGGGCTTGGATGGCGAAGCAACAAGATGTTCCCTCTTGCGCGGCAACAGCCGTCACCTTCACAATAGCCAAGCATGGAATTGGATTTCGCTGGGCAGCCAGGGCCTCACGACACAACGCTTCAACCGCGGGCGCTGATGTCCAAGAAACCTGCACGAGCCGACAATAACAACAACAGAACGTAGCCAAGTGCACAAGAAACCAGCTATCAATAACTCACGGGGAATGGATTGCGGCAAACCAGCCTTGCCATCACCCTCGCCCAAGAAAGCGGACAAGTAGTTCCAAGCACATTCGTTGCTTGCACATTTGCGTATCGCTTGCATGGCAAAGTTCAGCTCACGCTCGCGGATGGTGTCGGTTAGGGGCCAATTCTGATGCCGAACAACGGTGTACCTGGGAGACAACGATGCGACCTGTTTCTGCTGCTGGCGCAATTGATCCTGCTATTGCACCCCGGCCTGTGATTCCAAGCAGAATTGTTTCGAATATCTTCTTCCAACAACTGCTCCACAAACGGCAGCTCTTGATGCCACAAGCTGAACTGTTGCAGGATGAACTGTCGGTGGGACCTTAGCAGCAGCAAATTTGCCTGATGACCGCGGGCATGCCCTTACTGGCTGTTCGAAGACTAAGCGCGAGACCAGCCGTTGTAATTCTTATAATCGCTGTTCACACGCATGCACTCCTCGTGACACATGCGCTCCAAGCACACCGTTTTGCTAGGCTGTCGCAAACGAAATATCGCACACGGCTACATCCCTTGGCTTTAAGCACTGCTTGAAACACATGCGGACATAATTGGGCATCATCCACGCTAACTCTGGAACACAATGCCTTTTGAGGTTCTCCTCCCATGGCATAGCCTCTGAATTCCAGACAAGCTTCCAAATGATAATCCAGCTCGGTCTTAGCCAATTCCTGGATGTCTTCCTCAGCTTCAGGCCCAGGGGCACGAGAGCGCGCACGCGTGGCCATCTCGGTCACGAGCCAGCGCCTGTGGTACCACACCTGCATACCGGAAAAAAATCACGCGTCCCAAAATGTTGCAGCCTGCCTGATAATTCTTCGGGCAATCCCGTGCCCACTTGTCAGTGAATATCCGCTCTTCTTCCAGGTCGATGCCCAACTCTTTCAAGCATCGGCGGCGGTAGTACCAGGCAGTGTAGTTGGCCGAGTTGTGTTCAATGACATCTGCTGTTAAATGCAGCGCCCTTACGCTGGTTTCGTTTCGCCGCTGGATGGCGCGAAAATAACTGTGCACCTGGCAAACGTTAGCAACAAATAAAATAGCTAGGCAAAACTGCGGAACTTGCATTCACGACCTCCTCAAAGCCGAACGGGTATTTGATGACCTGATCTTGTTGGAGGTAAACAACTTTCAACTCACGCAATTCCGCAACGGCTAACAAGCTCAGGACCGCAAGCGGATGTGGTCCGTCCTCTTGTGGAACTGGAACAACGTCCTGTTGGGATCGTTGTCAGCGAGGGCTGCGCCGCATGGCTAAGCATTCGCAATGCCCAACACGAAGCGCGCCACGCCTTCCAGGACTCGCGTTGGCTGTACGGCAGCTCGTCTTCAAGGTTGTCAGGCTCCATGGCCACCATCTATCTTCGTATTGCTACGCTATCCCGGGAGCAAACATGGCGGCGCGTAAGATATTTGGCTGTGGATCAACACCCCGTTTTGCAGCAGGCTGTCCTCCCACCCCGTTTAATATTGTACCCCTTTGTCGCAAGCCTGTTGTTATGTACCTTCGTCGCGAGTGCTTGGCGCAGACATGCCCCACAAAAACACCTTGTTGCAAAGGCGCTTGTCGCATGCTACGAGTCACAACACACACGATGCGTCCTGGAACTTGAAAACTTCGTAAAACCTCACACCTATGAATGCCTATGAACATACGATGCGCGTCTACCCTACTCGCTTACAACACGCCGGGCCATGATATTTTCCATTAATCGATGTTGCAAAAGGTGCGGCCGCATTGGGTGGCGATGTCCTGTTCACTTTAATCTTCCAACGAGAACGCGGTTGACACACGTTGGGCGGGAAGCTTGACAGAACACAAGGCATTGCCGTGACCGTACCGAATCCCTGTCAAAGCTAGCGCATCCCGCACATGTGAAAGGCCCAAGCGAATGCAAGCTGGGTACCGTAGGTCCTCCTCTGCGCCATGCTGTAGGGTGCCATGGCGGTGCAGGATGCAGCTGCCTTAGTGGCGGCTGCTGTTCGCGCTGCTGGCGGCATTGCTCCAGCGGCGAAGCCCTGACAGTCTTCAGTGGCGAGGCCCGCTATGGCCCGCTCCTGCCGGCTGGGAAGCTGGCGGTGAAGACGAACTGGTCCGGAAGCTGCGGAAGAGCCGTGTTTGAAGGCGCGGCCAAGAGACAGAAGCAAAATCACAAACAAACCTCAACAAGTTCGGACACTGACATGGACCCGGCGAACATTGCAACCTTCTGGTCTAAATGCCCAAATCCCAGTGGTTTGGGGTTGGACTTGGCGCGCACGCTTTCTTTGCGGGCAGGGCTCTGATCCTGGCAGTTTATTTGGCCCTGGCATGTAAGCTGGGACAAGAAAAACCATTGTATAGTGCAAGCTTTCGCAGTTTTGGTTTTCGATGTGAGTGCCTGCAACATCTTTTTGGACATTCATGCTTGTAATGTGTTGAGGCTAACTTTTTTCGAGCTGGCCATCTTTTGCCATGTGATTCTCGGCATCCAGGGCATCTTTGATGGCACCCTGGCGTCATCTAAACATTCTCAGAAAACCCGCGCATGTGAAAAGCCCAAAGGAACGTAGGCTAGGTAAGTCCTCCTTTGTTGCCTAGCCACATGGTGCCATGGCGGCGAAGGATGCGGCTGCCTTAGTGGCGGCGGCTGTTCGAGCAGCCTGCGAAGTTGGCACACCAAGGACAATCGTTGCGGTTGCGGCAGCGGCGGTGTCGGCTGCTGCTGGCACTGCTGCAGCGGCGAAGCCCCCGACAGTCCTCGGTGCCGAGGCCCGCTCCTGCTTGCGAGGAAGTTGGCAGCGAAGACGAACTGGTCCGGAAGCTGCAGGAGAGCCGTGCTGCTCACAAGCGGGCCAGGACACAGAAACAAACAAAAACAAGTTCGGACATTGACATGGACTTGGCGGAGGGGACCTGCAATGGAATTTCTATGTCAGTAGAGGTGCGACTCAAACCCACCAGCAAGTGCACCCCTCTCAACCCTCTACGGATTGCAGCCGCCGCAGAAGCGGGCCAAATCTGAAAAGAACGTGAGGGGACAGTGGACTTCCTCCCGTACCTGCGTTTCCAAGCGTGCACTATTCACAAATGGTACTAAGTCCGAAGCCTAGAGGCCCAAAGCGCGCACGCCTTCTTTGCGGCAGGGCTCATATCCTGGCAGTTTATTTGGCCCTGGCATGTAAGCTGGGACAGGAGAAAGCATTGTACAGTGCAAACTCTCGCAGTTGCGGTTTTCAAAGTGAGTGTTGCATCGGAATCCTGAGTGTCCTGCATCTGCCTGCCCAGCAGGCTTGTTCTCTGGGCATTCCTGCTTGTATAGTGTTGGGTCTAGGTTTTCTCGAGCTGGCCACCTTTTGCCATGTGCTCTTAAGCGTCCAGGGCTTCTTTTATGGCACCCTGACGTCATCTGAGCTTTTTTCAAATAAGCATTTTCAAACCCGCACATGCGAGCACTCCGGGGCACGACCATCTCTTGCTTTCTCGTGCTATTTGATTTTTTTGCAATGACTACAAATTTGCCAATTGTAGTGGCGACGAATGGAGTCTGATCGCGGTTCACTGCGGTTTTCACTTGAGCCGTTGAAAAGATGGGTTCATAAGATCAATTGCAATTAGGAAGTTTCCGCCCGCGAGCTTCCGCGGACCTTCCGCGAAATCTCCGCGAAGACTACTAGCAGATTTTCCGACGCCGTGCTTCCGCGGGGCTGTTCCGCGGACGTTTTCGTCTAAGGTGCTTCGGC